TCGGGTGATGACCATTAAAGGTCACACATCCTGGTATGTTCTGGGGTCATGACCCTTAGATGCCTAATACAAATGTAGTTTCTAGGGGGAGATGACCCTTAAAGTCATACATACATGTATGTTCTGGGGTCATGACACTTAAAAGTTATACATCCTGGTAGATCCTAGGGTCATTGCACCTAAAGGTCTGATGGTTTATAGGATCATACATCTGGGTATGTTTAGGAGGTCATGAACCCTTTAGGTTTGATAGTTCCTAGGGGGACCATAAACTATAGGACATTTGGATGCATGGCCTTATAGAGATAGATAGAGATTCATAGTAATTGATAAGGTTTCTAAGTTTGAAGATGATCAGATAAAAAATGTTTGTGTTGTTGTAACCACAACAAGTCAGGGCATTTTTAATCCTTATATTCAACAATATCTTGACAAATATCCGGAACATCATTTTTGAAAATAAAATGGCCACCAATAAGACATTTTTAATAAGATTCATAAAACAAAATAATGTGCATCAAGGTCTGGCTGCGGCAGAACCACAGGCATGGTGAACATGTGAGTGGTTAAACAGACATCAAAGCCCAGGATCAACTTCTCGAAATTGGTAGACATGTGTATTTTTACTAATAAAATGACCACCAGTCAGCAACCTTGAATTAGATTGCAAAACAAATGCATAGGCATGACATGTGCGATATGATGCACAAAGTACAAGTTTAGTTTGAGCATGAGCAGTCCAAGTGGGTCTGACTGAGAACTAAAAAAATTACACAACTGATAGATATTGCTATGATGTTATCAATTGGACAACAGTGACAAAGACGCATGGAATGTAGAATTAAAACAAATACAATAACATAATGACAATAACGAGTGAAGTACACAGTGGAAATAATATCAGTCAGGAGTCTGAATTGAAAATAATGAATAGAATTAGATTGCATTATTGTTATCTGTGATTGATAAATGTAGCAACTCACACGATTTAAATCTCTATCTACAAAGCAATTATAAAAATAAATTGAAATACTATTTTTGGGATATTTCCATTTAATTATTCGTGATTGATGTTTTCGTTTATGATCAAGTCAGAAATCTGTGAATCTGTGTCATGGGAAATGTCAGTTAATGAAATACAATTGAACCAACGTTTGAAACAGCTCTCACTTGCAGGTGAGAAGGCGATGGTTAGAAGGCAGTGGTTGAAATCTGATGCACGCAACAGGGCAAACAACAAGCAAATTTACAAATAATGGGAAATTAGAAATACCATCACGAAATAAACAAATCTGATACAGGTTCATTCAAATATCAAAGCAGCTCAAGTTGGTTCTGATTTTCAACAAGAAACTGAAAATACCCTTTATTTTCTCAAAAATAAAAATGGAACTGAGGTCATCCTATGCAAATGACTTCAATTGCACATAAACACACTTGATATTGATTCTGATCATTTACGATATTTTTAATAATCATGATCAGTACTTTATGGAATTGACGAGTTATGCAGGTCTGAACTCAGTGGCCAATTTATTTTTTACCTGGAAAACCTGAATTCCAATCGTGCAACATAGTTTTGCATCTGTTTTGGAACAAGCTTAACACAACTGTAACTTACGAAATGCAAAATGTTCTATGTTCAAAATTTGCTTGAACAGCAACAAATGTTAAGAGTCGTCTTATAAATCATAAAAGAATATCAAGAATCTGAAGTGTTTTCAATATTTTCTAACACATTTTCCATTAATATCGGCAGTTTAATTTTCTCATCTCCAATTGGCGAATATGACATGATATAACTCTAAATTGATGTATGTGAATCATGCTCCAAGAATAATCACAATGTACAACTACAAGGAGGAAGTCGATTACACTAATGGGAAACTACTTGTATGGCCATCTGATCATTACTACAATTTGTTTGGTTAGTGTATGCAACGCGTCATTTGTTTTATCTTCATTTAATTTTAGCTCTGAGAAGTAGAAATGTTGAGATTTAAACCATTTAGCTCATTAAGGACTGGTGCCTAGCTATAAAATAAACAGTCAAAACATTGATTTAGCATGCACAGACCAGATGAGGTTTGGCTGCAATCAAGCTTACTGACCATATGTGGTATTTGGCTGCAATCAAATTCAGTGATTATAGCCCTAAGTCTGGCCGCAATCAAGTTGCAGAATGTAGCATAAACAATAGCTACGTTCACCTTACGAGTTCTCGGCATGTGCCAACATTTTTAATCCTTCATGTTTGGAGAGGGATTACAGCAGAAGAAGAAACCAGTTGCAGCAACACATAAATATGTGCCACCGATAATGTTCTGCATTAAATTTATTCATTACTAAAGGATTTTGCCTCGTCATGTCATACTAGTATAATTATTATATGTTCTCTTAAGTTCATCACTGAGTGTGTGATTTTGATTCATGTAAAGCATTCAAGGCAGCAAATCTGGGCACATTGGCACCAATATCAATTTTTTTGTTCTTTAAATTCTTTGTATTGGAAAAAAAAATTAAAGAATGAATTCTGAAAATAATAAATTAGTCATACATAACTCACAATGAAATGGTTTAACTTACTTGAGCGAGTTTGTCAAATCTTGCAAATAATTCATTAAGAATTTTCACAAGTTCTTGAGCTGTACATTGTGATGATAGCCTTGTAAACCCTTCAATATCAGCAAATAAGATACTGCAATAAAATAGTATGCAAAAATTAATATGAAGCTCTGTGCAATAAAGGGAAAATGGACAATCCCCGGGTTTGTCCAATATAAATTACCGGTAACCAGAGGAAACTACAGCTACATGTAATGTTTTTCTAGAGCTCAAAGCCTACCGGGTATACAGGAAAAAGTTGGAAGAAATCAATAAGAGTTTGTAAATAGTGCACTTTCGTCAGTGTGCAGTGCCATTCTGAAGCTCATTCATCATAAAACATGTTTAGAAATGTTCTTCAAGGGCCAGCTGTACCTTACCTAACATTCTCCCTAACCCAATCTTCTCCTTAACTAAGTTGTACCTTATCTGACATTCTCCCTAATCCCATCTTCTCACTAACCAAGCTGCACCATTATGTGATATTCTCTCTAACCCAATTTTCTCCCCAACCAAG